AAAAAAGTTATGTAATCGATTGTCATAGCTTCATCGACAATCCCACAAAAGAATGTGATATATGAAAATGTCCGGCCTTCCTTGGAATTCATATGTGTCCTGTGAATAAAGTGCACTCGTGGCAATGTGGCGTAGTGGCTAACGTGTCGAGATTACATGCTGCCTTGTCGTGGTTCGACTCCCGCTGGAGATGTTGATAATACCTAGATGTGGTCGAAACTGCAACTAATTCCTGCTTGAATGAGAGCACCTATTGGGAAAGCAAGGCTATGTGAAATTCAAAGGAAACGTGAGCTCTACTCATATGATTGTGGGAAAATGCAACTACCAATTCTTTATCATTAGCTTATTAACTTAAAGTTAAACTTAGTTAGTCTACATACAGAAACACAATTTGGGAATTTATTTGCTTAGATGGTAGTAGATAAATCAACTAGAAAGTAACAAGATTTTGTTAAATTTGCATATTTAAAACCGATACCGACCAAACAGCGTCTGATTGCAGTATGCGCTTAACAGCAGAATTTAGTCACTTAAGAGAGTCAATAGGATATCGGAGCCAAAAAAAACATACCGAGCGAGTGACGGGAATCCGACAATGACAGAGCATGCGAGCTCGACATCGGGTGCTCAGGGTACCGATTCTGCTGAACCTGAGGTTCGATACAGGAATGATAGAGGCTGTTTCCACAGACCCTTTTGCAGTCCCTATTTCTGTGTTGCCTGTCAACGCCCGAACGAAGTCGGACGGTCTCGCTAATTGCCTCTGATCGACAGTTCACCCGTTGGAGGCTGGGTGAAGCCTCTGTTTGTTGCGATAACTCGATAGTCTCAGAGTCGTTGAAAGGGAAATTGACTTCTCGGTAGATTGAAGGCAGAGATAGGGTGGGGAGTGAATGACGCCAGTGAAGACTAAATGGTAAATAAAAGAGAATAAAGTCAAACGAAATAGCAGTTTCAATTCGTTCTAAAGTGCCAAGAATGTTGAGCGAATAAAATTGAAATCATATCTAAGTGGAAAAACATTGTCACAGGAAATTAAACGATAATCCAAATAAATTAATATAATTGGTAAACCCCTTAAAATAGTCAGGAAAACCACTACTCATAAATTGGTGATATAGGATTGCCTACCTACAATGGGATTTTTGCCTAGTCAATAATGATTTACGATGATATGCATCACTTTCGGATTATAAGGGTTTTCTAAGGGAAAACGCTAGCATTAAGCCCGCCGGCGAAATGCAGAACGGTATTTTCATTGTGCAAATAAAAAACACTACCTATCTATAAAAACTTACGGAAAATGTAGAAATAGAGATTGATTAAGCCAAGCTCTGTCACAAAAGCATAAAAATTCCTTTTGAAGTAGTAGAATAGGGCGATAAAAGAAAAGAGGACTTAATCAGTAATTCTAGTGAAATGGGCGACTAACTCATTGTATTACAGTCACCAGATCTAGAGAGAGAGAAGATATCCAGGT